GTACACAGCAAACAAGCAGATAAAAAATACATAGACAACTGGAGAGATTTGGGTTTGTTTACAAACAGACCTCATGTGATCACCATGTACTAGCTAACATACTGGTCACATGGTCGAGCCTTAGTAGAGACCAGAACTGTAAATGACAGCCCAGCCTTTCTGCTAGGAGTGCAGAAGTCTGTGTGCACCTCGCGGTGGATTGTAGATGAACTTTCTCTTAACATGGGGGATAGTGAGGAAGAAGGTTTACCTCCAATTGGTGGTCTCAAGCTAGTTATCCTTTGTAGGAAAGGTTGACACTTTATATCAAAATAAATTAATCATCCTTTATTTAATATAAATAATAACTACATTATTTTATAGTTTATTATAAATCATTTTTTATAAATATTATGTATTACTGATATTATAAATCATTTTTTATAAATATATTATGTATTACTGATATAACATAGAGTCCTCAGCTTACCCATACTTTTTCATCATAGGCTCAGCCTGATTTTGCTGAGCTTTGTGACAGGTTAATCGCCTGGTTATCACAAAGCAACGCTTTCATCAGAGGCATCGTTTGCCCAAATTGGAACACCTATGGTGACCTTGTGAGCCGCTGTAGGAAATCTTTCCGTTATCAGAGCTACGCCATACACAAACAAATTAGCGCCTGTTTTATGTGGGTACAAGTGTTACATTATTTGCTCCTAAGTTATTTATAAGAAGAAGGTTGCATTAACACCAGCAAGGACCCGTGGTGCTCGGTAAACTTCTAATTTCCTCTTGAACGTTAGCTAAACACCTGTTTGTTTTATAAATGTATTACCCAAAACCTAATTATTAGGAAAGGATAGGAGAGAAAATGCTTAATGAGGTCTGTTCTCAGAATTGTGAGTCGCTAAAGCCATCCTAAAATAATCTTCAACTAAACACATATATTCAGTAAATTTGCTTTCATGCTTATAAATTTAAAAACAAAAGTGCAGCGCCTAAGTGGTCAAGAATATATATAACAATCTTATGATCAAAAACCAAATTGTAGGCAATATACAGTACTTATAACCAGAATAACCAACAAAAGTGGGACTTTAGAAGTGCATAAAAAGGCCCACAAACACGTGACTCTTCTTAGTGGTGACTGATAACTTCCAACAGTTGCCCGCGTGTAGTATTCAATAGTATTCATGAATACTGCACGTGGGCAGCTGTTAGAGTTATCATTCACCACTTAGGCCTCATGCCTCATAAACTTCCCTAGATGTTTTGCTCTCCTGTCAGCAGAAAAACTCTAAATGCGGCAAAAACGCGTGTAAACGCGGAACCGCGTTTAGCTGCGTTAATCGCTGAAACGTTTATTCATTTGATTGGTCAGAGTATTTTACATTGAAATGAATAGACACCCAAACACTAAACGCGGCTAGCAATTAGATGCGTTTAGCGTTTTCTGACCTAAACGTTCTTCTCCTGAACGTGGATCTTCTGCTTTCAGGAGAGGGACGTTTAACTGCCCCTAAACTCTGCTGCCCCTAAAGTCTGGTAAAAGCCTATGTGTACATGGACACATAGGCTGTTGCTAAGTTGAATATAGGGGCTTTGGCAAAAAGAACACTAAAAGCTGCTGAACGCATGTTTAGGAGCAGCAGTGTGCATGAGACCTAAGAGGAGTCACATGGGGCTTTTTATGTACTTTTGAAAGTTACATTTTTGTTGGTGGTTCTGGTTATTTTTGTTATATGTTCTGGTATATTGCTTATAGTTTGTTTTTTGATTATAAGATTGTTATATTTATTGTTGGCCACTTAGGTGCTGCACCTCTATTTTTAAATTTTATTTTGAGATGTGTATCATTACCTTACTTGCTAGCTGCTTAGTTATTGGACTTGTCTGATTTTGGAAGCCAAGCAAGGTTGGGTCTGGTTAGTTCTTGGATGGGGGGGCTGCCTTACCTTACTTGCTGGCTACCTAAATACTTTCTTTCTCCCTAGTGTTGACTATTCCTTCTATGCTTATAAATTTGCTCTTTTTTTTCTCAGTTGAGATTCTTGCATAGCCGTGCTAAAAAGCCAGCAACAACTTTGTAGGTTTAGGAATGATTGACATCTGCTGCCAACTGCTGTATAGGTTTACCAATGGTACACATTAGCTACTAGCAGTTGTGTAGGTTTACCAATGGTGGACAACAGCTACCAACAGCTGTGTAGGTTTACAAATTATAAATATCAGCTACCAGCAGCTGTATGGGTTTACCAATGGTAGACATCAGCTACCAGCAGCTGTGTGGGTTTACCAATGGTAGACATCAGCTACCAGCAGCTGTGTGGGTTTACCAATGGTAGACATCAGCCACCAGCAGCTGTGTGGGTTTACCAATGGTAGACATCAGTTACTAGCAGCTGTGTGGGTTTACCAATGGTAGACATCAGCTACCAGCAGCTGTATGGGTTTACCAATAATGGATATCTGCTACCAACTGGTGTATAGGTTTACCAATGGTACACATTAGCTACTAGCAGTTGTGTAGGTTTACCAACAGTGGACAACAGCTACCAACAGCTGTGTAGGTTTACAAATTATAAATATCAGTTACCAGCAGCTGTGTGGGTTTAAAAATTATAGACATCAGCTACCAGCAGCTGTGTGGGTTTACCAATGGTAGACATCAGCTACCAGCAGCTGTGTGGGTTTACCAATGGTAGACATCAGCTACCAGCAGCTGTGTGGGTTTACCAATGGTAGACATCAGCTACCAGCAGCTGTGTGGGTTTACCAATGGTAGACATCAGTTACCACCAGCTGTGTGGGTTTACCAATGGTAGACATCAGCTACATCAGCTACAAGCAGCTGTGTGGGTTTACCAATGGTAGACATCAGTTACCACCAACTGTGTGGGTTTACCAATGGTAGACATCAGCTACAAGCAGCTGTGTAGAAGAAATGAGTATGTGCTGCTGGGGGAAAGGAATTAGGGGAACCTGTTGCTTTTCCCTACATTGGCTAAACACAAGATTGCCTTAAAGCCATAAATATTAATTTGCCTCTATCAGAAGTGGTATGTATGGTAGAGGGTAAGTTATATTCTAAAGAATTCTAAAGAATAACATCATCATTAAAGGACCAGTCCACTCAAAATTATGTTTTAATTAAGGGAACATAATGGGATGAATAATTATATATTATTCATACAGTGCCTATCTATCTTGAATAGTCCAACAGTGAGAACTTGCTGCCATAGTTCTGCACTCTAACTGAAAGTCTTGAGTATTCCCACCCACCTTTCTGTGTTCTAGCTCCTCTATTTGAATTCTTCTTAAAACCTCCTCCAGGCAGAAAAAAAAATAACCTTGCAGTGCCCACCTTCTGCCCTACATGGATTAAATACTTATTAACACCTTCCCACCAGCCCTTCTCAGTGGGTGAGCCTTAATACTGAGGGGCCGCATATATGCAGCCCTGTATAAACAACTTACCATGCTGACAGCATGCTCCCTGCATACTCCCAGCACAGTAGCGTGCGGTGATTGGTAAGCTCCCAGTGCATACTTGCGATCGGGACCTATCCGATCATGTGACTAGTGATAGCCAATCGCAGCGGTCACATGATCTGAATACCTGTCTCCTCCTCCTGGCATCTAGAAGCTCTTAAAGGTCTAGGAGGCGTCAGCTGGAAGGCATTAAAGTGGAACTAAAGAGAGCTAAATGTGCCTTTCCTCCAATGGTCCATGTCCCTCGCCGGCGCTGGCATCTTCTTCTGTGTGCTGGTTTTTGGCCATCTTCATTGACTTGTGCGGGATGATGTCACTCCTGAGCATGCACAGGAGCCAGTCATCCCAGCACACAGGGATTGGGTTGGCGCTGTAAGCTGAGCTGTGCCTGCGCAGCACAGTTTACATGCTGGAGAAAGGCAGGTAGGTGTATTTTACTTGAAGTCTAGGGGTGGAGGAACAAACTGTAGTACTCAGCTTATTCCTCACTCTAGAAAGCTTCCACCACACTGGGTGACCGGTCTCCCGAAGCCTCTTCTCCAAGTTGCTGCAGCCGGTTGTTGCATCTGCAATCATCAAACACAATGCAGCTCTAATGGTCCGCAAGGGCTCATCCACAACCCGAAACACTGGAGCCTGCCAGAGCAAGGAATAAGATAATTAATACAGTGCTGTGCCTAGATTTAGTGAGCATTTAAAGGACATGTTTTCTGACAGGACTTCAGCTGTAATAAAAAATAAATAAATACTAAAGGAAGAAAAGTGGGAACCCACATTAAGCACACCCAAGAACCAAGAGATTTCACCAACGAAGTTCCCAAAAGAAAATATAGTCAAAATTGAACATGTAAGCAAAATAATTTCAGTTTTGGATAGAGTGGGGAAGGGTTAGACCCTCTGTAAACGGTTGCTGCTGGAGCGCATTGGGGAGAGTCTTCCCCTCTCGATTTTTTTTCTAGTGACCAAAATGTTGTTGTTGGCCTAAGGGGGGTAAGGGGAAATTGCACAATCGGGACAACTGTCTAAGACTGTCTAACTACCTTGCTTTTGAAGAGTTCCTGTTACATCAAGAAGTGAAAATCTCCCCAATGTTACACAGACAGCAGCAACGTAACCTGTCAGTGCTTTTACCCCTTATCCACTCTATCCCAAACCAATAAAAAATGTTTTAGCTATACATACACTTTAAATCTCGAGCATCTGTCAAAAACAAAAACTTCCCTTACTGGTGGACGGTTCCTTTAATATAAATTTTGCATCTGGTTTCCCGCCCTAGTAGTACATTATGCCAAATATAATGCAGACCTCAAATGCAGATGTAGCACTTTTCTGCTGTGCTGACCTGCCCATGGCAATGTCTATCTTTGGTTTTGACTCCGGCTGCAGATTTCAACGGCATATTTAGCTTTTTGGCTGGTGTTTTTGTAATATTCCACTCTGAAAATTTCCTTAGCTCATTAGAAGCTGTTTAGCAGGTTCTTGCTAAAAACAATATTATTATTTTTCTTTATTTTCTATAGGTCAGTCAAGTGTACAGTTTATCACTATTCGAAAATTATTTATACGCCACCAATCTGGACAACATTCTGAAGATCAACAGATTCAACAGTATGCATTTACATTCTTTATTAACAATGGAAAATGCCCGTGGTTTGAAGGTTTATCATAAACGCACCCAGCCAACCGGTAAGAGCTGTGATTATTACCCAACTAAATAAAATGAACAGATTGCACATTTAGGAAGTTGCACTTGTATTTTGACTTTATACACCAAGTTTTCCATAAGGGCTTGTTTAGGCTTGGGGATAGTAAAAACACACAGTTGCACTGATTTTTTACTGCCCCCAATTTCTCCCCATTAAATTATAAAGGCAGTGGCTGGGGGTGTACACATGCCATGGCTGTGATGCTTTGCTTCCTGGGCAAGGCGGAAATAAGCTCCCTGTCCTGTTTGGCAGGCTCTTCTGCCCACCAAATGCAACCTATTCAAGTGAATGGGGCTGATATGCAACTGCCAGACTTTGGTTGAGGCATGGCAGTGCACCATTAAGTGGGTAGACCAGCATCTGAAGTATGCACATTTTTTTTTTATTTAGACAGCAGGGGGAGCACTAGTCTTCTCACACATCCTTTTTACGTTTTTTTGTAAGCCAATTGTTTACAAAGCTCAATAGCAAAAAGTGAATTTTACACAAACAAGGATAAGAGTTAAAGGAGTGACTTATCCTATAGTGGATGCTGCTGCCTGAGTGAAACTAAAAGATCTTAAAGGCAGGATGCTTCTGCTGGGATCTTTCCTTAGCCAATAGAACTTTAGAAATCCTTTGTCAAACATGAAATATTCATTTTACAAGCAAAGAATTTATGGATAGTAAAAACAAAAGAATGCGCATTAGCGTAAAAGCATTAAAATGATTGTAAAGGCAGATTTTTTTTAATGCACATGTTATATGTACCTGCTATGTGCAGTAGTTTTGCACAGAGCAGCCCCGATTCTCCTCTTCTTAGGTCCACCGCCAGCGCTCCTGGCCCCTCCCTCTTGCCAAGTGCCCCCACATGAAGCAGCTTGCTAAGGGGGCTACCAAGCTGCTGATCTGTGTGTCCGTTCATTTGCTTACTGGCTGTGATTTCTAGTAGTGGGAGCCAATAGCTAATTTCTGCTGCACACAGTCACCAATTTCTGCTGCTCATAAAAGGTTTTTTTACCTTCATGTATAGAATGCATGAAGGTAAAAAAACGTTGAACCTTTACAACCACTACCACTTGCCCTCCTGAGGATTTACCCCCCTTCCTGACCAGGCCATTTTTTGCATGACGGCGCTCTGTTACTTTAACTGACAAGTGCGCGGTCATGGAACGCTGCACCCAAATGAAATTTATGTCCTTTTTTCCTCACAAATTGAGCTTTCTTTCAGTGGTATTTGATTTCCTGTGCGATTTTTATTTTTTTGCGCTATGAAAAAAAGACTGAAAATTTTGAGAAAAAAACAATATTTTTGACTTTTTGCTATTAAACATGACCAGCAAAAAAAATTAAAAAAATCAAATTTCGTCATAAATTTAGGCTTTGCTAAAAAAAATCCCAATACGTGTAAATTAATTGGTGTTTACAAATGGCAATGTATATACTGGAATTTTTTTTTTAACTAATAATGGCAGGACTGTGGCAGGCATTCTTACACTGGGGGGGAACTGACTTGGAGTCACTGACATCCCCAGTGACACCAATACAGTGATCAGTGCTCAAAAAAAAAAAACACTGACACTGTACTAATGGCACTGGGCAGGAAGGGGTTAACATGAGGGGCGATCAAAAGGTTAACTGTGCTGGGTGTGTTTTACTATGTTGCCCTGTGTTTGTGCTTCACTGTAAGCACACTGCTTTGTACGGCTATGCTGTGCACAGCCATGCAAAGCAGTGTGCACGAGTTGACAAGGAGAAAAACTGTTTTGTTTACAAACAGTTCTCCTCCCCGTTGGAGATCCTCGGCAGTTACCGGGTGCCGGCGAATAATCAACGGCCGGGACCCGGTGATTGACAGCCGAGGCCGCGGGTGCAAGGCATGCGCGCGCCACCTACCCGGAAATGCGAAATCACGTAAGTGTGTGTGTGTATATATGTATGTGTATGTGTATATATATATGATTCTGTGCACCAATGCCGCCCTGTAGCAGTAAACAAAGAACAAGTGCCCTCAAACTATTATAGGTTTCTTTTCAGGCTTGCCATGTGATCACAAATGACTTGCTGACTCAATGTAAACTGCAATGTAAATCATACTTAAAAGGACTTCTATGGGCACAGCATACACTTTTATTTTATAACATAAGCATTGTAAAAGCAATACAAACAATAGTTATTTTTGACAATCCAATATAATTTTACTTTAAAAATCTATTTTCATGTTGTGAATTTTGCCTGTCTGCTGGCCATCTATTTCCACAACTTCCTGTATTCCCTGCATACTCTGCAGCTTCTCCTCTGCTATTTACTTTTAATTTCTAAGGACTGCATATTCCATGGTACCTTGCTCCTGCAAGCAGTGATTCCTGTACTGACTCCGCCTCCTGAAATCCCTCCCCTTAGCACCTCTGTAGTTCAGAAGGCAGGCTCTGTGAAATGTGTGACACAGCAGTGCTACTCACAGGGCATAGTGACTGCATGTCACAGAATTCATTGTAAGTAGATGTAAATGTGAAAGTGAAGTGTAAGTCCCAGGGGTGGACTGACAACTCATGGGGCCCCCGGGCAATAGGGGATCATGGGCCCCCTGTGTCCTTGCCCAAACTCAAAAAAGCCTATGAAAAAGGTACCAGTGGCATTTCATCTCATGGGGCCCCCTACTGACCCCGGGCCCTCGGGCAGTGCCCTAGTTTCCAAATGGTCAGTCCGCCCCTGGTAAGTCCTGATGCACACTGGACATTTTTACAGCTGCTGTTTTTTAGCTTTTGAAGTTTAACGTTATTTTCTACAGCCAGGAAACCCCCCAGCATGTTATCCTATGTGTCCGTACACACATAGACTGTAATCAGCGTTTTTTGGCAGGGACATTTTTTGGCTGTAAAAAAAACCAGAACCAGTGTGTCTCTAGAGGAGTTTTTTAGCTGTAAAAACGCTCTAATACCGAAAAACACAGTGAAATGCAGTAAATCACGTTTAACCACCACGAACTGGCATGTTTGGACTTTTTTTGACCAAAACAATTTTTTTTTTTAAATGCTAAAAACCGCAAATGCGGCAAAACGCCGCTAAATGCTGATGCAAAAACGCTAGAAAAAGCTGAAAAAACTCACGTTTTTAACATGACTTTACACAGCTAACGTTACCAGCGTTATTAAAACACCCCGTGTGCATGGAGACTAAATGTGTGGGATCTTCACCAAGTAAGTTTATAAATGTTAAGGTTATTCAGACCAATAGGAGTAGGTGAGAAATAATTAAAATACGATGTGGAAATTATTATATGACTTTAACATTTGACCATAGATACGCTTTAAGTGCAATACAAAGCATATCTGACACTGGAAGGTTTTCAATTTTTTTATTTGGGCAGAGTAGGAAAGATTAAACACCTGTTTCCATTGGGAAGATATCCATTCACTACTTTTCATGTAGACACAACAAAGAGGAAAATCTTTAAAACAAGCGTTCCCATTAGAAGATTCCCTCTCTATTTCTGTTCTGTTGACAATTTAAAATTTTATATTTTTTTCTTCATCTACAGACCAATAAAGAGGGTGATTCTAATGGGGTCACAGACGGCAATGTAGCTTTACATTGGGGTTGGTTTACTAAAATTGGAGAGTGGAAAATCTGGGGCAGCTGTGCATGGTAGCCAATCAGCTTCTAACTTCAACTTGTTCAATTAAGCCTTGGCAATAAAACCTGGAAGCTGATTGGTTTCTTTAGAGTTGTACCAGATTTTGCACACTCCAGTTTTAGCAAATATCCCCCACTGAGTTGTAACCACTCACCAGTAAATAAAAGTTTTATCTTTAGATACAGTTTATAAATTTAGAAGTATTACCATACTGTGTATGTAAATGAACTATATAATAACATGTAAAGTTTGAAGAGGTGAACTTGTACTTTGAAGATCTTCAATGTGCTATTTAAAATTAATATGTTTAATTCATTATAAACAATTAAGGCAGTCAGTGGTAAAATAAGATCAATTTTGTTGTCAGTGAGCCTCTCAAGCTAAAGTAAATAATGTTGATTTTAAAAAGCAATTTGAGCTTGATGTTTTGCCATGATTTGTTGCAGGCAGGAGTCACGCATGTGAAATCAGCGCAGATGGTTTGCCAGGGGGCTGTTCCCACATCTGTCTGCTCGGATCCAGCTACAAAATGCGGACCTGTCGCTGCAAGACCGGATTCAGCTTGGCAATAGATGGAAGGTCTTGCAAAAGTATGTAGATCAATCACACGTCCATTAACATACAGAAAGAAGTAGACCTTTGGTTGGTTTGTAATCAAAAGACAAGTCACCTTTATGTATAACAGCCGTTTGCTGTTTGCAACTGCTTATTAACATGTCTAGAAATATTTCCATGAACTGAGATGATCTTTAGAAATGAGCCACACTTATTCTGTGTATTAATGAATTGAGAAGATACAGTGATTTCACACATTCAGCTCCTTGATGGAAGTTAATGAGCTGTTTTTTTGAAAATAGAGATGAGCTTGGATGTGTTCTGATGCTCTTATGAACCCATGTGGCCAATCCCACCTAGAAATCTGTATGTGGCATTACCCTCTTGAGGGCCGCTGGATTTGTTTTGGGTCCCCCTAAGCTCTGCATGGCTGGGCAACATGCATTTTCCACACTTGTAGTCAGTAAACAGTCCTTCTGCTGTTTTTTTTAGTTGTTTTTTATTAAGGTGTTAACAATTTGGATGGGGTCTAGGAGTATATGGGATGCTCAAGGACTGTAAACTTGAGGACAAACGTCTTAGAAACCTGTACACTCTACAAAAAGACGTGGATCCAGAAAATAGCCAATATAGCACTGCCTCCTCAGACCCTAGATGAATCCTTCCTATTCACCTGGCTGCACTGCGGGTATCCCTGGGTAAGGGGTTCTAAGATATAAGAATGAAGTGGTCCCGGATGAGAAAAGTTATGTCTCACACCTGATTGCCCTCTCCCTTTATGTGGCCCAGGGGGTGTAGGGGTACTTACATTGTCCTGTCTTGTCAGTGCGGTAGGTTGGTAGCTGCTTTCAGGCCTTTTCCTGGGCTGGCTCCTTCCCTGCTTCTCAGGATGTCCTTCCTAGGAGGCTGTGGAACTGTGAAGATCATCCTGTAAACTCCCCTCCCTGGGGCCCCATCAAGGTTTCCACAGTCCAGCCTTCTCTCAGTCCATCTTCCATCTGACTCCCTTGCTGCTCAAGCCCTGCCACATTTAAGGGGTGTCCTTGGTCATCATGCCTAGCTTCCTACCTGGGGATAGGCCAGGTTCCCTTAAACATACAGATCTAGACTTCCTCCCCTCCTCCGCCCGTCTTCTGAGGTTTTCTGAGTTTCTGAAAGGGTGGGAGAGCTCCAGAAGCCCTGACCTGTAAAGTCTCCCAACCTGTCCTGAGGGGAACTCTTGCCTCACTCCCAGGCTGACTCATCCCAGGCTGCTACCCAGCCTCTGTTTAACAAAAATCCTACCTAGCTAAGCTAGAGAGTGTTACATGTAATTAGCCAATCATCTTTGGTTGGGGCATTTAAGGGGTGTGCACATGTGCAGCTGTAGGGCAGGAAATGCCTTGACCACAGGTGATTGGCCAATTAAAGGTGACAGCTTCCTGGTGGGCTTGGTCATGTGGGTTCGGAAGAGCAAAAATAGTAAATGAGCGCTAGAAATATACGTATAGATAGCAGCTTGCATAAATAGGTTAAACCTCCAACCCTCTTAAACAATATTGAACAATGCAGTGCTCAGATAGAACAGTCTAGAAGTTTCATCATACAAACATAAGTGCATCAACGTATTAAAAACGCATGTGAAAATATGATGATCAGTCCAATATAAAATCACGTCAATATCTCAAAAGATCCTAAAAAACATTACATAAAGTGCAAATGCATGTAAAAACATCCAGAAGTGTATTAGTGACACAATAAATCTTCAAAAGGTGCAGATCCGTGTCTCAGGTATATGTGGAAAAGAGAATAAGTTGCACTAACCAGATAGCGCAATTATAGCTATACCAACTGAACAGCCTCCTGTGTTCAGTCTGCAGCAAGGGGACCTGGAAACTACCAGCAATCACTGTAGCAGTGCTGCCTTCTTTAGTGTTTTCCAGCTTCTAAGGGGACCCATTGGTATGGCACATTCATATTTACCTTGGTCCAGGCTGGACCAATGTAAACAGGCAAAACAACGCCATACCTGGAATTCCATTTTAACCTTTCCCTATTTTATCCAAAACTTAAAAAAAAAAAAAAATGTCTTGAATATTTTAAAATCTGCAACTTTTATTAAAATAGTTTCTGGTGATCCTTGTTAAGACACTTCCTGGTAAAGGGTGACAATGCTCTCCCCCTGTCTCTCAATATTGCAAAGGTGCAATTAAAGGGACTCCAGGGCTGGGGAAGGAGTTAAAGAGCTGCATCTATAAAAAAATGAATGAGACTGGTATATTCTCATACAGCAGGTTTTATGGCTTTCACTCAACCGCACTTGAAATGATGACTAAATATTAACAAGAAAGTTGAGAAATAATTCAATGATCTAATGTGGATTTAATCGCCTTGTAAGTACAAAAGTGCTTTCTATCAATTTTCTTGTCCTGAACTTCTCTGTTTGTTTTCCTGCATCCCATCCAGATACTTAATGAATGCCGTGTTTAATCACAAATGACATCAAAGTTAAAATCTAATGAGTTGTTAAATTAAACGCCTGCAATACAATATTATCCATTTTACACTTGATACAAAGTTGCCACATATGATCTGTCATGTTTTTTGGCGGGTGGACACATTGGGAGGGGAAGATGATTAATTGCTATTTTTTGGTGAATATTTAAATTAAGAATATCAAGAGCTGTTCCTTTAATAAACATTTCCCAAATGACTGAACAAATGCACTATGTAAGGAACAGAAATTGTAATTTATGTGAAAAAAATTAATTTAAAAAATAACACAAAGTAGAACTAAAGAAAAACTTTAGAAACTTTTTTTTGGATAGAGTAAGGAAGACGTATAACCCCATTGAGTTATTTTTTTTTTATTCTTTTGCCATCTGTGTGCCATTCAGGAGATTTACCTTCACTTCCTGTCCCATAGTCAGGAAGTGAGAGGATATCCCTCCATGGTGAGGGAATCCATGGTTGTTACCGGAACTAGTATCCCCATTGGAAGTATTTTGCTTCACTCCGTTTCTGGGGACAACCTAAAATTTGGGATTTTTTCACTTTCACTCTTGGTGATAACAGAAAACAGGATAAATAGAGAGGGTGAATCTCTGTAAAAATAAAAATATGAAAGGGGTTCTAATTCCTCTCCACTCCAAAACTAAGCACCTAGTACACAGGTTTGTTGCCTAGACGTCTTTTTAAAAATGTTTGTTGGTTATGAACATTAAATAAAGCCAATGTGTTTCGGGGATAAGGCCCAACTCTTCCTCAGGCTTTTTTTTAGTTACATATATAAGAAAACCTTTTTGTGATGCAATGAATCCCAAATTAAATTCAAAATCCCAAATTTAACAAATAATATAATATAGATACACCAAATCAAAATAGTCCAATGTGAAATCCAAAAATATGTCCAAAATACGTCCAAAATAAGTCCAATACAGTGTCCAAATTTCAATATTTTTTTCTCCAAACTGTGAAAATTATTCCTCCAAACAAGTACCTCGAGAAATAAAATTAAGCAATCTAGTGCAATTCAATTAATTAAAGAAAATCACCCCGTGAGACTCCACACTTCACTGCAAAAATTTATCAATTTGTGAGAAAAAAAAAAAATAAAATATATATATATATATATATATATTTGAATTAAATTATACCAATCTTATTTTGTAATAGTGCAAAAACACATCAATCCAAAGTGTACACACTCTGTGATCACTGCTACACAGTGAATACCTTCAACCACCACACAATAGTACCAAATACTATTACCCTCTGTGAATGTTATGAAAGCTCTACCAACATTATGGATCAGTAATCCTCCAAAGATCTTCTTCAAGAATATTTTCCAGGTCCTCAGAAAAATAAATGGTCTTAGGAGCAGTATTCAAAACATAGAGATAACATTTATTAGTAACTCACACTTAAAATTCCGATTATCAGCTCCAGCCATGGTTTCTGTCTGCTAAACAAACATTTCCTCCACCATGTGTTTTGATAACCTAAAAAATGGCCGCGGCGACACTTCCGGTCTGCGTACGTGCGTCCTGACGTCACTCCTTTAACGCGTTTCGTCACTTCCGGACTTCTTCTGAAAGGATCCTTTCAGATGAAGTCCGGAAGTGACGAAACGCGGTAAAGGAGTGACGTCAGGACGCACGTACGCAGACCGGAAGTGTCGCCGCGGCCATTTTTTAGGTTATCAAAACACATGGTGGAGGAAATGTTTGTTTAGCAGACAGAAACCATGGCTGGAGCTGATAATCGGAATTTTAAGTGTGAGTTACTAATAAATGTTATCTCTATGTTTTGAATACTGCTCCTAAGACCATTTATTTTTCTGAGGACCTGGAAAATATTCTTGAAGAAGATCTTTGGAGGATTACTGATCCATAATGTTGGTAGAGCTTTCATAACATTCACAGAGGGTAATAGTATTTGGTACTATTGTGTGGTGGTTGAAGGTATTCACTGTGTAGCAGTGATCACAGAGTGTGTACACTTTGGATTGATGTGTTTTTGCACTATTACAAAATAAGATTGGTATAATTTACTTCAAATATATATATATATATATTTTTTTTTTCTCTCACAAATTGATACATTTTTGCAGTGAAGTGTGGAGTCTCACGGAGTGATTTTCTTTAATTAATTGAATTGCACTAGATTGCTTAATTTTATTTCTCGAGGTACTTGTTTGGAGGAATAATTTTCACAGTTTGGAGAAAAAAAGATTGAAATTTGGACACTGTATTGGACTTATTTTGGACGTATTTTGAACATATTTTTGGATTTCACATTGGACTATTTTGATTTGGTGTATCTATATTATATTATTTGTTATATTTAGGATTTTGAATTTAATTTGGGATTTATTGCATCACAAAAAGGTTTTCTTATATATTTAACACTTTCTAGGGTGGAAAGTATTAACTTTTTGAGGGTATAAGGAGGATATATATCTAATTAGTTTTTTTTTAGTTACACTTTGAATGGATAGTTCACTTTTACCAAAAAACTGCCTATGCAGATAAGGCATGTCTGTAGATAAAAGCAAATTGTGCAGCTCTGGCTAAAGTTGAATAATACCCTTGCAATAGGTGTAGGCCATTTACGTACTTCATGAAGCCTGACTGGAATACTCCCAGGATGTTGCTAAGTGAGTCCTACATGTTACTGCTCACCTCCTCCATCACAGGAGTGAGCTCTCAGACGCTGAGCTAAGAGCTACTACATCAGGGGAGAGAAAGATCGTTTGAGGGAGTCTGAATCAGAGAAAATGCTCACTTCTGTGATGGTGGGGGTGAGCGGTAATTGACTAGGCCTCACTTAGCAATGTCCTGGAAGTACTTAACAATGTCCTGGGCTTCCAGCCTTCAGGCTCCAGTCAGGCTTCATGTGATACATACATGGCCTACACGTATAGCAAGGACATCAATCAACTTTAGTCAGAGACCAGGGGCGGACTGACCATTTGGAAACTTGGGCACTGCCCGAGGGCCCGGGGTCAGTAGGGGGCCCCATGAGATGCCCCTGGTACCTTTTTTCATAGGCTTTTTTGAGTTTGGGCAAGGACACAGGGACCCCATGATCCCCTATTGCCCGGGGGCCCCATGAGTTGTCAGTCCACCCCTGTCAGAGACACAGTTTGTTTTTATCCAAAGTCACCCATTACCTGCATAGGCAGTTCTTTGGTGAAGGTGAACTATCCCTTTAACAACTTTTAAGGTAGATTTTAGCTCATCTGGCTCTCCCGTTGTGGTGGAGTTATTGTTACCACTGTGCCACAAAAAGGTGAACAGTCAAATGTTGTTCTTTTGAGGAAAATTCTGTTACGCCCCTTTTATACTTCTGCTGTGTGGCATATAACCCGTCAATACACGTCACATCCACTACAGTGCCATTTATTTTGACTGGTACCCCAACACATGAAGGTAGTACACATGTGTTCCAATGCAGTGGAATGTGTCACAGTGTGTTGCGTAGTGTTCAAAATCTTGTGGCATTTCTGATGGGATGCTTAGGTATGTTGGCAGCCTGTTACTGTTAATGGACTGCATAAAACCAACCCACATTAATGCAGCTTGCCTCCAGTGAGGAGATCATATCTCACCTGCTCACTGCCTGTTTTGTCACAATCCCTAAATGCTGCATCACCCCACCACAGGCATATGCCTTTCAGGCAGTTTCAGGGAAGTTACAATGCGACCCCATTCACATAAATGGATCACGTTTGGTGGTGGTGATGCTACCTGCCGAGCATGACAGGGAGGGATAGTTTGTGCCGCAATCTCAAAGCATAGCATCCAGGCCAGGGCATGTGAACACTGCCACCTGATGCCTTTGCAAATTAAGGGGGAGAGCATTTGGGAAGGGGGGTGTAAAAGTATGCCCCCCAATCACAATTTTAAATGAGCTCTTTCACAATGGTAGCAGACTCTGAAAAGCAATCTGTGATGAGTTGCTTTTAAGATTGTGGTTAACAGGCAGACAGGGAGCAAAACCGCCATCTCCTGAGTGCCTTTTTTTTAATTCCAAAGGAGATTTTACTTTGAAACTCTGTGCCACAACGGCCATAGCTATGTTGTTTGGCATATGGTTGCGGTCCAGTTCCTTTTAATTTAATGGGTGTGCTTGGAAGGCACAATGCCTGCTGAACCCAATATGCTGATTTAAAACTGGTGAGCTGCACCACAAAGGGGCATGAGGGCACTAGTCTAAACTGTCTGCCTATTCAAAATGTATGGGCTGTTTTAACACATGTTCATTAATACAATGCAAAGTGTACAGTATATGGGACCCAAATGTTTTACTTACATTAACAGCCTGCTTTTATTGACCTCAGAGTTCAGCTTTAAAAATTGTTGTTTTTCCTTTTAGAACCGAAGAATGAATTGTTCCTGTTCTATGGGAAAGGGAGGCCAGGAATAATTCGGGGGATGGATCTAAACACCAAAATATCAGATGAATATATGCTTCCTATTGAAAACTTAGTGAACCCTAGAGCCTTGGATTACCATGCGGAGTCTAGTTACATTTACTTTGCCGACACCACCAGCTTCCTCATTGGCCGGCAAAAGATTGATGGAACTGGGAGGGAAACTATCCTTAAAGAGGGTAAGTAGCAAGTCACAGACCTACCAGTGCTGTTTGTGCTAGGCTTTACTGTCATTGTGGTTTAGAGCTCAGGTTCTTAATCTTATTCCAGAATTCCAGACCTCCTATGGAGTGTACAATTTGTTCCCATGCCTCCCCATATCTCCTCATCATCACCAGCATTGGCACCGGTATGGCTACAAAACATGTTAACAGTCTAGTTTTACTTTACAAGCCACCAGGATTTTTATTATATCTACATAGCTCATATCCCAAATACTCAAGCCAGTAGGAATGACTCCTGGTTTGGTCCAACCTTTATAAGTTTGGTTTGGATTTAACTTTCAAGACATTTGGCTAGAATTGAACCCTTAAAAAATACCAGACCCTTATTCCTGAAGGAATGGTATGGATGTCAAAGTAGATTCAATGCAAAAAAAAAAAGTGGGGTCTCCTAAATACCAGACCCTTATGCGTGTATGAAGTCTGGCAGACTAGGAAAGGGGGGATATGAGCAAGCAGATCCCCTCCTCCTGAACCATACCAGGCCACATGACCTCATCAGCACGTGGACATGGTGATTTACCAGGGTGTCCCCCTTGGCAAGGTACCCTCGCTATGTTGAGGGCATGGCATGAGGCCTAGTTTAATAAATTAATTTGTGAGTTCCCCCATTAACATCTTTACCAAACTTTCATGTAGTATTAGGAGTCTGTTGTTACTCAATTTATGCACATAGGTTTCTAGTTCAATAATGCAGAGAATACTGTTTCAGTTTTTTTTTTTATTATTTAGAGATCCAGTCTCTTATCCCCAATATTTGGTTCCTATAGGAAGGGGTATGGATACTATTGATTAAAGCATATCTAAAACCCCAAAACAAAAGTATCATTTATTGCAGCTTACCAGTCCTTAAATGTGGTGGTTATATTGTTTGTCACTTTTTAAGCTAACAAAACTTCCAGCAAGAGCAGAAAACAAGAGAAGTCATTTTCTTGTCACTTAATATTCCTTCAAAGAAAGCACAAAGAACTTTATTTTTATTGTGTAAACTAATAACTCCATCAATCTACCAGGTAATGGAGACAAGCAAATGCAGACATGTTTGAAGTTCAGTCTGTGTGACAACCATGGCTGCCTCCATAGATACAATGCAGAAATGAGTGTAAACACAAAGACAAAGGAAATGTGTTTTCTGCAAGATTATCAGGTGAAAATAAAGGGAATAATGGATGAAAAAAATGAATCCATGCACCTCATTTAAGGACTTGTAAACTGCAGTATACTGTATTACCTTTTTGTTTTCTGGATTACATACAATTTATAAACTCCTTCTTTCAGAGTGTATGTCTTTAAAGTCCACCTGCTGCACCTTCCTGGCAGGCTTTGCAAAATTTTAGTGGGTCAATACCATTAGTTGTAGATGTTATTATTAGTTATGATCACGGTGCAGTAGAAGGGAATCCTAGTGGTGCTAATGCACTCTGAATCAGTGCCAGCTATTCTCGTCACTTTAGAGCTCCCGTAATTACATTCTGCTTGTTTACCAACTAAAAAATTTGCCTTGATGCTGATTATAATACTAAACACTTCTAAGTTTTGCACATTAATTAAATCTTCACAAAGCTGCTTATTTCAATTGCAACCTTCCTTAAGCCAATACAACGGAGCTAGAAATGAATATTTTATTAAAGGTCAACTCAACCGAAAGTGTATATTTTAGCTTTCTGTATTTGCTGGCAAAATAGAATTGCACATTGGTTTCTTATTGATCTTAAAGGGTCGAAAGCAGCCTTTCTCTACTGTTTGCCCAGAGGAAACCTTAAAATCATTTCAGCCATTGGGGAGCCACTTCACTGGGACAATTAAAAAGATCATTGATGTCATGCAGCTGTCTCTGCCAAATGGTGTAGGAACAATGTAGACACCATAAAATGGGAGGTCAACCATCCACAGCTTAAGGAACCCCTAGTGACCTCTGTAGGACCCTAGGGTTCCATGGGATCTTGGTTAAGAATGGCTGGTCAAAAATTGATGAGATATCTGCACTAGCATTACTAGTTCCACCTTTTAGAACCTGTTTAAAGCATTCTGAATTTTTACTGAGCTACCTTGCCCTCCAAAAACACTGTTCTAAAAAGAAAAGAATAGGGTTACCTTACCCCCACTACAACCAATGAGAAGAGGCTCCTGAACTGTAGTGGAGCGTCATCTTGTGAGAGTTAAAAATGATAATGATATCATCCCCCTGCACTACAGCAGCCAGGGGAAAGGTAAAGATCCCCCCTGTTTTTTTTTCATGGTAGTATAGCACTTTAATAAAGGGAGATGGTTCTTTGACATATTTGGAAATATTTACCTGGAAAGGTATAAGAGAATAACTGGGATCAAATAATAAGTATTTGAAATAATTAGATCAATAATTAGACTAGATGGTGGAGATTTCTTGCATAAATGAGGCCTAAAGTGGAAATAGTTATAATAAAATATAGTACCAGACTATCAAGACAGCCAATGATCCAGCAGCCAGGAAGAAGATGCCTGTGCAGGCTAGGGACCTTACAGAAGACAAATCATTGGAGAGGAGGTATTTTGGCTTTAGTTCCATATTTAATCAGACTTACACAGGCTTACACATATCAAATAAAATGTTATCACCAGTGAGTTCAACAGTGTAGTGCAGCATGATGCTAAACAGCTCTGGAGAGCCATTATTTCAACTTAAAATGATATTAAACCCTTGGTTTGAAAAACAAAAAAACAAACAAGCCATACTTTCCTGCTCTGTGGCATGGTTTTGCACAAAGCAGCCCCAATCCTCCTCTTCTCAGGTCCTTCACTAGCGCTCATGGCCCCTCCCCCTTGCCAAGTGCCCCCATAGGAAACTGCTAGCTATGGGGGCACTTGTGTGTGCTAGTTCCAGAATCCTGCTCTCTGTGTCTACAGTTGTGACCAAAATTATTCAACCCCCAATGCTGTAAAGGGGTTTAGGGACTATAGTGTACATTTGGAATTGTATTCAGAATCAAATCCTACAAGGACGTTGTAACTACCCAAATGCAACTAAAATGACATCAATTGTTTATGTAATACAGTAGTAAATGGTTCTTATGTGGTTTCTTCATTGCCACAATTATTCAACCCCTTAAAGACTACCACTCTGAAGAACAGAGGTTCATACAGGTGCTTTCCATCAGGTATTGAAAACACCTGTGGATGTCACCGAGCAGCAATCAAGCATAATAAGCACCAATTAGGCAGCTTTAAAATGACTGTGATACTCAGCTCCTTCTAGACATTTACTGGTGTGGTTACAAACATGGTGAAGGCAAGAGAATGGTCCAGGAAGACAAGAGAAGAGGTGATTTCTCTTCACAGGAAGGGCAATGGCTATAAGAAGATTGCAAAGATGTTAAACATACCAAGAGACACCTTAGGAAGCATCATTCGCAAATTCAAGGCAAAGGGCACTGTTGAAACGCTACCTGGTCGTGGCAGAAAGAAGATGCTGACTTCGACTGCTGTGCGCTACCTGAAGCGTAGAGTGGAGAGAAGTCCCCGTGTGACTGCTGAGGAACTGAGAAAAGATTTGTCAGATGTGGGTACAGAAGTTTCAGCCCAGACAATAAGACGCACACTGCGTAATGAAGGCCTCCGTGCCAGAACTCCCAGGCGTACCCCCTTGCTGTCTCCAAAGAATAAGAAGAGTCGACTGCAGTATGCCAAAAGCCATGTGGACAAACCACAAAAGTTGTGGGATAGTGTTCTGTGGACTGATGAAACAAAATTAGAACTGTTTTGGCCCATGGATCAACGCTATGTTTGGAGGAGGAAGAACAAGGCCTATGATGAAAAGAACACCTTGCCTACTGTGAAGCATGGTGGAGGGTCAATCATGCTTTGGGGCTGTTTTGCTTCTGCAGGTACAGGGAAGCTTCAGCGTGTGCAAGGTACCATGAAATCTCTTCAGTACCAGGAGATATTGGATGGAAAGTGTGTGATGCAGTCCGTCACACACCTGAGGCTTGGGAGACGTTGGACCTTTCAACAGGACAATGATCCCAAGCATACCTCCAAGTCCACTAGAGCATGGTTGCAGAGGAAAGGCTGGAACATTTTGGAGTGGCCATCGCAGTCACCAGACTTAAATCCGATTGAGAACCTCTGGTGGGACTTAAAGAAAGCAGTTGCAGTGCGCAAGCCTAAGAAAACTGAACTGGAGGCCTTTGCCCATGAAGAATGGCGAAGATACCCGTAGATCGCTGCAAGACACTTGTGTCAAGCTATGCTTCACGTTTAAAAGCTGTTATAACTGTAAAAGGATGCTGTACTAAGTACTAAGATTGAATGTCACTTGGGGGTTGAATAAAACTGATAATGCTGTGAGCACAGAAAAGACATTTGTGGTTATTTCATTATAACTGTTATGTTATATTTGTCTGACCTACAAGTGCCTCTTTAATGTAAATGTAAGCAAGATGACTGAATGATCAAAAGCAATGTCAAACTGGCCAAAACACTCAATTTCAGTGGGGGTTGAATAATTTTGGTCACAACTGTATAAGAAACATCTCAGCCCCGACCCCGCACTCTCCTCACTGGCTGTGATTGACATCAGTGGGTGACAATAGCTCCCTCTGCTATGTCTCTGCCAATGAAATACACAGGACTGGATCGACATCTGGCTCAGGTAAGTTTTTTGGGGGGGGGGCAGAGCAGCACACAGAAGGTTTTTTTTTACCCTCGTGCATAGAATGCATGAAGGTAAAAAAAACTTCAGCCACTTTAAAAACAAGCTCTGGGAAATTTCTGTCTTACCCACACTGCAAAGGTTGACTTCTCATTTACTGTAGCTGTAGGGGACATAGAAGGAAAGGAGAACAGGACAGTGAGAGAGCGAGGGGGGAAGGGAGTTATAATCCTTCACTGCTTTTTAAAAAAAAGGTTTAGGCCAGAGTAAAAATTCAACATTAAAAAATACATCTGATGCTTGGTGCTTTAAAAATCTTGATATAAAAATTTCTATGTAAATCTTTAAAAGAAAATAAAAAAATAATCTACAATTCAAATCATTTATTTCATTGTGTGAAGGAAAATTTGTCACAGCATCACAGGGGTTAAAGTAAGCGGAGGTTTCTATGAAACCCCACAAATCAAAACAGCAATGCAAGAAAATATGTTCTCAAATGATCGCTAAACAATGTACCTATTTGACAGCCTTTATTCTCCAATATTGCAAGCTGTATTCTGTTCATAAATGTTGTTAGCGAGCTGTATTCTAATGATGTTTTTATGCTACTCTTCATACTGGCTAATTAGAGGTATGGTTGATTGTCTTTGTTGCTCTTACAATACTTGTCAAATATGTTGTGTGATGAAACAATCACTTTGCTTTTATGATTTAAAAGCTGCAACTTTGAGACATAATCAACAAACAGCTACAAAAATACACCTACTAAACTGAACCCAGGCATGAGATGAATTTACAGTATACTGAAAATACAATAGAATGGAAAAGCTACTTATTCAAAGGAAAAACGAAGATTCCTTAAAGTGGATGTAGCATCAGATATATGTTTTCATGCTTACAGTTTTCTTTTTGTTTTAACTTTATTGAAATGTCACCATATGACTTTTCATTCCACCCTATGTACCACAGTGCATTGTGACCCACTACAGTGCAGAGTTGAACAAAATGTCATTTTGTGACATTTCAATAAAGTAAAAAAACATTACCAGTAGGATGTGCTGCAATAATGCATCATGCTGCCCTACGCAATGTGCACCAGCTGGCACAAGTTATATCATAGCATAATGCACACCTGCTGGTGTGAACAGGCCCTAGTGCTGGCCTGACACCTGTAGAATTTGTTTTGATTGTTTAGATGAAATAAAAAATCAGCATGCAAAAAGTACCAATACAATTATGCTACAGAATATGAAAAAAATTATAAAAAAAAATATGAAAAAGCAGCAGCACATACTGGAGCAGCAGGTACAGGGCACACCAAATAAACATACAATTCAAAACATAAGCTGTGCTACAAAAATGATACATCAATATATAAAAGATAAATATGTAAAAAATAGACAGTCCAGTATATAATACAAGTGCATGCAGAACAATGTGGCCACCACTTGTAGAGTAATCTTCCAAAAGTTTGAAGAACACTATTATTTGGAAGATTACTGCACAAGTGGTGGACACATTGTTCTGCATGGACTTTATATTTGCTGGACTGTCTATTTTTTACATATTTATCATTTGTATATTGATTTATCACTTTATGTAGTATGGCATATGTTTTGAATTGATTGTTTAGATGAGAAAGTGAGACTCCATAGAAGAGCAAATAGACGGAGGGTCTGCATGACTATGGGGAACAGGTCAGAAAAGAGTTAAAAAAATGTGAGTTGAATGTGGAAGCCGTGTAGGTCTTACTGGATTTGGGGCTGAAGATCAGATGGGTATATGAAGCCGCAAGAGTTGTTCATATGAAGGATGCTGGGTGTTCATTCCAAAATCCCAAAAAGTTCAAATGAAGAGGTAGTTTCCCCTCCCACCTACCATTGACTTACAGTTTATTGTAAGTCAATGGTTGTGGGTAGATGTTAATAAAAATATTTTGTTATGGCAGCTAAGCGGGTCAAGGGGCCTTTGGGGGGGGTCAGTGAACACTTTAATTTTTAAAAACTGGGGTGCCCATCTGGGGTATGGTGCTTCCATTTGGTTCCTTATTGCTGGTTCTGCCAGGAGCTCAGTGTCAGGGCAGGAGCTGAGGAACGGACAGGCAGGCCTAAACAATGTAACGCACTGGCTGACGACAACCACCACCCACAGACCGAAGTCCCTCAGGGTGCGGAGTCTAAGTCCCAGGCTGCCCTTCACCAGGGCCCCTGATGGTGGGGATGGACTTGACGCAGCCAGGAACCACGTCGCGGCCCCCGAGACACCTCAGTTGCGGTAATGGCCGCCGCCAATGGCGTGTAGCTGGTGGAAAAAGACAATAGAGTAGTCAGGCAGGCCGGGTCAACAACAACGGGACAAAATGGTACAGGACAGCAAACGAGAATCACAGGTCATGAGCTGGGTTCAGCAACAGAGGGTCAGATCAAAGGAGAACACAAAGAATAGTCGAGTCACAAGCCGAGTCAGATTCCAGGAGAGTCAGGAGAGTCAGAACAGAGTAATAATAACACAAAGACACAAGTGCACAGGCTTATGTCATCAGCCACACCCCTCTGGGGGATGGACCTCAGAGACCTGAAGGCATAAAGGATTCCCACCATGCTCAGCAGAAATCTAAGATGGATGCCAGCACATGGAGTAACATAACCTCTGGGAAAAGGTAGGACCTTGACACTCAGTCACCTGGGTAAAAATTAAGAACATGTGAGTTCTTAACATCTTCAAGGCAGTTGGAACATGGCTGAGGACAATTCTGGTTATAAATTCTACCTTTAATGACACCCAGAGACCCCCTCCTGGTTGTATTGTCAAAAAACTTTGTTAATTATTTGTTGTATATGTAATTGTTATTTTATTTTGTAAATAAAATAGCCGCTATGGCCATTTAAACCCATATCAGGAAATCCATGTTATTAGATTGTCCACTCATTAGATTGTGCTTTCATGAACTCAACGAATCTTGAACAACATTTCGTTGGCGAGCCATGTCAATATCTGCTTTCATAGAACAAACATTCTACTTCCAAATTAATTTTGGCTAGAGCATTCACATAAGACTAGTTATGTTTGTTTATTTAAAGACAGGAGCAAATTCAGTGATTGTTTTGTTCATTCTCATTGGATTCTTGTCTGGCTCTTGTGAACTGATTTTATCTTTAAAAGTCGTTTTACTCTTGTTTGGCATGCCTGTTAGTCTGTTTACATGTAAAATTCTAAATTTTGGGTGACCCCTTTCCCCAAGGTCCACTCATTTATACTTCTGGAATATGTTACATCTTTTATTTAGTACACACACAGAAAATGTTTTTTATATATTGGTTTCAAACAAATATCTTTCTCCTGTTAATCAGATGTGGACAACGTGGAAGGGATTGCTGTTGACTGGCTTGGTAATAATTTATATTGGACAAACGACGGACACAAGAAGACAATTAATGTCGCTCGCCTGGAAAAGGCATCACAGAGCCGCAAAACCTTAATAGAGGGGGAAATGTCACATCCTCGTGGAATTGTCTTGGATCCTGTTAACGGGTAAGAGCTCATAGATAGTCTGCAGTGTTGAGCTTTAAAAGAGAAAAATATGATCTTAAAAAAATGACAGGACCACACAGCAAAACTCATACCAGGTTTTTCACCTTCCCGCAAAAATCTTAAAGAGCGTCTCTAGAAGGTAGCAAAATAGTCAGAACTTGAAATAAAATTCAGATCTGTAATAGAATTTGAAGTTTTAAATGTATTGTATGTCTTAAACAGTAGTAAAGTGGAATGCAAACCCTAGAGTGGAGGCAAGGTTGACCACACATGCTTTGTTAAGTTCATCAAATTGATGACTATAATGTAGGTTTTGCCAGCCCCTAGTGGAGACTTCATAGGAATGTATGGAGAATTACTCTAGAAAGAGGAGCTAGAAAGTTTAGCTCACAGCAGAGACCTTGCTAACATAATATGAAACAAGAAAGTAAAAATGCATCAGGGGACAAAATACTGCCTTACTCCAGCTTGGAACAGTACTTCTAGTGTGGCACTGTGCTTAGCCTTCAGTTTTACAACAGTGTCCAGTCAATGCTATAAAATAGCACTACTAGTCGACAAACCCCTGGATTCACACCTCTGGTAGAACACTTCAAGAGTAATATAAAGAAAAACTTACTAAATGGGCATCAACAATGTCCAGTTAATGCTATCAAATTGTACTACAGTATTTCAAGTGTGGCATGGTGCTTAGCTTTCAGACAGTAACATTTTACAACAGTGTCAAATCAATGCTATAAAATAGCACTGCTAGTCAATAAACTCCCGAATTCACACCTCAGGTAGAACTCCACAAGAGTAACTATAATGTAAACATCACTAAATGGGTTAAAAAAACTCAATGATATCACATATTATTGGGCAGCACAGTGCCTTAGTGGTCCTTCCTTGCAGCACTAGAGCCCTTGGTTCTGAGTCCATGTCAGGACACTATCTGCTTGGAGTTTGCAAGTTCTGCTTGTGCTTGTGTGAGTTTCCACTGGATATTCTGATTTCCTCCTACACACCAAAAGACAGGTTGGTACGTTAATTGGCCCCTGTCTACCAATGGCTTTGCTTGATATTCTACTGAGTGCCACCTAAGATGGATGCCTCACCAACAGTAGATACAACTCTTTGAGTCTCCAGGGAGAAAAGCACTGTAGAAATATTAATTATGTATCTCACAACCTTTCATTATAAATCTTCTCAAGCATTCTTGTTTTATGCGACTTCTGAAAACAAAGAATTGAAAGATCATCCCTTGTCATGAGAAGGTTAGAAGATCTATATCAGGAGGGGACTGACCATTTGGAAACTCAGGCACTGCCAAGGGCCCGGGGTCAGTAGGGGGCCCCATGAGATGCCCCTGGTACCTTTTTCATAGGCTTTTTTGAGTTTGGGCAAGGACACAGGGGCCCCATGATCCCCTATTGCCCGGGGCCCCCATGAATTGTCAGTCCGCCCCTGATCTATATCACCATATATGGTGACAAAACACAGATGGTTAGATATATACAGTTGATATATTGAGAAGCCTAGTTGGCCGTGACTTTTTTATTACAGATACCCTTGCAGTGTTCCCCTGAGGTGAGAATCTAAAGGTTTACAGACTAGGAGGGATATATTATAGTGCCATGTGGACATTATAGGTTAGAAACCAACTAAAATTAATTCTTGACCCATTGTTCAGTATGTCTGTTAGATGTTCCTCAACAACTGGCCATGGACAAGGCAGAATCTTAATTCTAAAGGTAAATGGAAATCACATTATTTAATACCACTTACCACGCCAGGAAAATAAAATCAGGAAATATTATTTGCACATTGCCCTTAATGTCACAAGCAATATTTGTGGCAATTACTTGCATGACAGCTGCCTCACAAGGCTAATTTGAGAGATGGTTTTTGGGGCAATGAATATTTCTATTACTTTAGATTAGAGATGACAAATAACCTCAGAATTAATGTGTCAAATTTTCCTGTGAAAAGATAGATGCAGATCAATCACCATTCAGAAGAAATGACTTGGATCCATGGGAAGACTTTGGTTAATATGAAGGCTGATCTGTTTATCCATCAATATGCTGGGCCTGTTGTTTTCATTATGCAAATACCTATTTTGGGTGAATGTTGTTCATTAAGAAAATAAATTATTTGTACACAATATTTGCTATATGCAGGATGAAAACAAAATACAGTATGTGCCTACTTTAAAACTTTTCAAGCTTAAAGGGACAGTACTGTGTATTTTTCAGCGATCACAATTTTTAAGATCTCCCCAGAGCTAGGAACTTTGTAGTGAATCCTGATGGATTCAATACCCAATCTTGTTATTCTATTATGGCCATTTGTGCAGCTTATAGCAAACTATTGTCAAACAAAAGGCACACGAAGCTGTAAACTGCCATGGTGGACCAAAGCCAAAATAACAAAAAATACAAGTATTTGTCCCTACACACAATTGCCATTTGTTGCAAGGCCACCAAAAAGCGCTGTTTCAGTTGACCGGGGCAAAAGCTATGCACAGCATTATATATTGTTTTTTATTTCTGGTGGTGAACCTACAAAGCCAAAATGTTGCAATTGCAAACTGAATATTTTTGGGATTCTCCATGAACCCACAGTAGTGGAAAACCTGAACCTGAACCCTAATACTCACCTCTCCCCATTCCATTGAGATATTGCTAACTAGATTGCATATCCGCTTGTCAACATATTCCCAGCTGGGCCTTTGTATTCACTCTGCACTCCATTTCTAGTTCCCTCACCTTTATGCCAAATCACTTTGCTTTAATATGTTGAGTCAATGACCTGCAATAAGAATGCAGATCAGGAATGTCAGATAATAGTCAGAAGTCTTTATTGGTTTTCTTGTTCTGGGTCAGTGATTAAAAGTACTAAAGCAACAGTGTCAGCATGGAATCCAGGCAATTGGCAATTGGTATTCTTAGGTGTGATCTTCAGCTTTGCTATTTCATTAATTATGAGTTCACTGTAAGCAAAATAATGTAAGCCCTCTGAGTGATTGAATGATTGGAAAAAGAAAAGAGTTTGCAAGGGTAGCAAACTACAAATGCCTTCCATCTTTCCACAGAGGTGACTGGTATTGTTGCTTAATTCCTTATTATTCTAATCAGTGACTAGGGTCTTTCTGTTAATCGGTTAATTATAGTCATGTGAGGATTTCCATTGTTGATAGGCTTGTTGTCTGATCTTTACCTCTCTACATTAATTTGTGACACTGTTAACTATGGATTATATTGAGGCTCCCCAAGGAGCCAATCAGTGAGTTCATTGACATGCTAGATAGGCGTTTATACAGAAACTGCAGTGATCAGACCAAGCAAGTTCTCGTGTAAAGAACTTGTCAGGTGATCACATGGTTACCCAAAAACTGGCCTTTTGATTTTTGCTTTATTCTCCCTTCTTGCCAATCTCTCTTTTCTTGACCTTTCCTATCTTGTCACCCTCACGGCATCAGATGCTGTAAATAATACAAGATACAGTGCAACAAAACACAAACTTGTCAGTACAATGATGAGATTTTAGTGTGCCGCTCTGTGTGAAGAAGACAAAGCCCGGATCCCATCGGTAGGGGTGGAGAACATCATGTTATCCAAGAGCTTAATATATTATTTGATCTAAGTTTGTTTCAATTTGTAAAGTGTCTATCACGGGCGGACTGACAACTCATGGGGCCCCCGGGCAATAGGGGATTATGGGGCCCTTGTGTCCTTGCCCAAACTCAAAAAAGCCTATGAAAAAGGTACCAGGGGCATCTCATGGGGCCCCCTACTGATACCGGGCCCTCGGGCAGTGCCAGAGTTTCCAAATGGTCGGTCCGCCCCTGGTGTCTATCAGATCAGAAACCATACTCATTACAAAAACAAGAAAATACATTTATTTCACCTGTTAGATCATAAGATACACCAAGAAATAATATTGCTAGCCATCAGGACTAATTACTGAGACCAGACAGCAAGAGATCTTCTGATCTTTGTCTGTGCATGGACCATTAAAGTGTTCTACCCATGTTTGGGCAAGGTTGTATGTAGTTCACACCAGTTAAAGGAGATTTCCCTTTTCTGTGAAGGCTGAAAAACACTTTGTGATGTGATGAGATGTGTAATGTGTATGCTACCTCAACATATGTTAACACATGTTATGTGTACTGCAATGCCTTTAATTTTGAATGGCACTCTAATGCCCTAATACAATTCTGCTCCAAGTCTTGTGTTTCAGCACACCACAACGCATGGGGGTTAATTTACTAAAAGCAAATAGACTGTGCACTGCAAGTGTGCATTTGCTCTAGATCTGAGGGGAACATGCAAGGAAAATAAAAAAAACAGCATTTTTGCTTGCACATCAGCAGAGCTTTGCCTCATTTCAAAGCTTCCCCTCGGATCTAAAGCAAATTCACTTGCAGTGCATAGTATGTTTACTGTACCTTAGTAAATCAACCCCTAAGTATACTACCATTCATTGTGGTGTGCTTCATCACACAAAATGCTGTATATAAGTTTGTTTTTTTTATTTTTGTGCACTGTTGGAATGAAGATCTTTTGTTTGCCTACTCAAAAATTAGATACTGGGGTGTACTGACTTTTTCACTTAACTATATGATCGCAAGTTCTATCCCCCATTTTAGTAGAGTTTGCATCACCAGTGGACATAATAGTAGACTTAACACTTGCCCTTCAGAGGATTTCCCCCCCCCTTCCTGACCAGGCCATTTTTGCGTTACTGCGCTGCGTTAATTTAAGTGACAATTGCGTGGTCATGCAACGCTGCACCCAAATTAAATTTGCTTCCATTTTTTCCCATGACTTGAGCCTTCTTTTGGTGGTATTAGATCGCCTGTGTGTTTTTTAGTTTTTGCACTATAAAAAAAAATCTGACAATTTTTACTTTTTGCTATTAAACATATCCAATAAAAAAATTTTAAAAATCAAATTTCGTCATAAATTTAGGCCAAAATGTATTCTGCTACATGTCTTTGCTAAAAAAATCCCAAT